ACAAATATGGTTTCTACTCCAAAAATAACCAACAAAAAAGCTACATCCAACATAGATCAAAACAAGTTTACCTTTGGCGAAGATTCTAAGATGAACATGATGTCTAATACATTTTGCCAATACATGGATGCCATGTCGTACGAGCCGACCTCAATGAAATCCGGGGGTGCCAACGACGCTACACTGTTCGGTAAATGGTTATCCGATGATCTCGAACATTTTCTCTCAGAAGGCGAGGATAATTTAAAATTTCCTGAGACTCCATCCATGAGTTATGATGTTTCGCCAGTCATGAGTTCGTCTATGACCACTCCTTCTATGGTCTTCGATAATATTTCTACTCCTCAGGCATTAGCCGATTCCCCTCTATTCGGATCAATACCTACATCTTTCTCGACTAGCCCACTTCTCGAACCAGCTTTGGGATTTTTCCCCGAACTTATTGGTGAAAATGAGGCCAAGTCTTTTATGCATTTGACCTCTATTGCGCCTTCTGTTGCAATTCCGGCTGACGATCATTCTATGCCTATCCGCCAACCTGATTTAACTTCTGCCCTGAACATCCCTTGGGGTTCTGATGTCAACAACGCATCTAGCATTATTGGCGATGAAACCGCTTCAATTGTCACTTTGATAAACAGTGCAACGAATATTCCAAACAATCTTACGACCAATACCAAAGCGGGATCCGATCATTCTTCTGCCGTTTTGAGTACTAGTGATACCAACACGATACCTACTTCCGCGAAAAATACTGTTGGCCGTACTCGAAAGCGTTCTTTGGTAGAAACGGAGAAAGATTCAGAAACCCATGCCGAAGAGTTGGCTATTAAGCGCGCGAAAAACACAGATGCTGCCCGAAGGAGTCGTCTTCGAAAGGTGATGAAAATGGAGTCATTGGAAAGGCAAGTTTCTGATTTCAAAGATGAAAATAATGACCTACAAACTCGTATCGCCGTATTAGAAAGTGAGAAAAAAGGCTTGGAAGAGAAGAATGTTGAGAAGGACAACAGAATCCGAATGTTGGAACAACAATTAGCCGAGGCTCACGAAAGACTGATAACTCGTTCTTCATAATTCCTTTTATATGATTAATGTTATCCATTTGTCTGGTCATAGTAAATCTTGTTTCTTATTCATATCTTTAGGCTATCTTTTATATCGTTGGTATACATTAAGCTGCATCATTACTGAATATATTCTATACATACACAACATTGATATACAATTATTGTATTTTTCATTATTCATTCGTTTTGTTTTGTGTATAAAACAAAATATAAATAAAATCCACATTTATTATTGTATATA